TTTTGGGTGTTTTCTATGGATTTTATTAAGATTTTGGTCCCATTAATCCATGCAAAGGAGTAAAGTTGCCAACTTTACGTGTTAAGACATCTCACTAGGTTCATATCGGAGTTTGGAAGTCATTGTCTTAACCATTTAAGAGCTTTTTTGGTCTATGATGGGTACGTTGGGCGTACGTAGGAGTACGCTTAGCATAATGGGTGTTTCGTGCATCAACCGCTTGTACTCTGTGCTTCGAGGATGAGTACGCGGGGCGTACCATTCTGGACGCGGGGCGTACTCCCTTATATGTCATTTTGGGCTTTTTGATGTTTGGGCCTTGTTGGTCCATTGGACTTCTGACTTTGGGCCATGGATAGACTAAGGGGTTTCTTGGAAGCAGGTCCATGATGGTTTTGGGGCCCAATCGGGTTATTGGGCCATAATGGGCTTTTGTTGCTATTGATTTGGGCTTTGGTTTTAGGCCAAGTAAGAAAAGGGTAAAATGGTCTTATACCCTTTAGGAAGTTGGTTTATGGAGTGGGCCTCAAATTTTGGGTTATCGAGATAATTATTGATTAATATTGTATTATTGTTAGTTGGCGCGAGGTTATCCGGTTCAGCGACTCGAGCAATTATTTGATTATCAGCGGATCGAGGCGAGTCTCCTCATTGCACTCGTGGGTCGAAGGCACCAATGTTGGCCCACTAGATTCTGTTACGCTAGTTGTCTTTATGACTCTTGCATGGTATGTTGGGCTAGGCCCATTGTATGTTGGGCAAGGCCCATTTGTATGTTGGGCTAGGCCCATGGATCAGGAGGGGGCTAGGCCCATTGTATGTTATGTAGGTGCTAACTGTCTTTGTGACTTTTGCATTTGTATGATCGGGCTAGGCCTATTAGATTGGCAGGGTTAGGCCCATTATGGTGGGTTGGGCCCAATATGCAGGCTGGGCCCAATGTGAGGGTTAGGCCCAATGGTATGTATGGTATGCGATATTTTGGGAAACTCACTAAGTTTTATGCTTACGGTTTTTATGGTTATGGTTTCAGATACTTCCGGTTCGAAAGGGAAGGGCCCGAATTGATCACAGCACATCCACCCATGTTTCCGCATTATGATGATTTTGGGATTGTACTCTGATAACTGTTTCCTTATAAAATACTTTTGAATATTTAGAAAAAGGATATTGAATGTCGGCTTAAAGATAATTAATGTTTTGGTTGAATTAAAAATGAAAATTTTACCTCATAATTTTGGGACGTTTCAGAAAAATAATTATAAAGTACCTCAAAGTCTGGATGTTACATACGAACTTTGTTTTTGACATTCTTTATATCTATAGAATCGTCTCTGAGTTAGATACAACTCTTCTTTAGATTACTTTGGCTAAAAAGTAATATATTTTCACTTTTATTTATAAACAAATGTTTATATACTACTCCCTCCGTCCCAATATTATTGTCCACAGACAAAAAACACATAGATTAAGAAAATATTAATTACAACTAACTTTATACAATAAAATGACAGTTTTGTCCTTACTTTGCATTTAATGTTCCATTAAATGCTTAGTTAGTTAAGTAATAATGAGTGGGTATTTTAGTAAAAATGTTATTTATTTTTAGAAGTGAACTATTATTTTGAGACAAACCAAAAAGGAATTATGGACTATAATTTTGGGACGGAGGGAGTATTATCTTTAAAAGTGAAAACAAGATGTTAATGCTCTCAATGTACTACTTATTATACTGCTTTCTAATACAGTAATACTAATTAACTGAATATTTAATTTAATAATAGAGCATAGTTGTTGCAATACTCTCAAATAAGAGTAATAGTGACTTGCCAATAATAGAAGTCACAAACTTGGAGAAGACAAAATTCAGAGAACATTAATCCCAGAAAAATGAATGCAAAAAATTATTCAAACCATTGAAGTTTAGAGGTATAAAAATGAAAGAAATCGTCCACCGTTTATTGTTTTTTATAAGATTCATATGTAGACTTTGTTGTCTAATATTATTTCATTCCAAATAATTAGAATAATATTTTGCTATTTATTATGACATTAAATAAATTTCTAATTTGAATTTGTTAGTTTTAGAGACAATATTATAAAATACCTAATTATATTTATGTTTCTTAATTTTGAGGAATGGAATTGAAGGTTAAAGAGTGGAATAAGCGAAAAAGGAAAGAAGGTTAACATAAGGATGCATGTTACATAAACATGATGTAGAAGTGTGCCATGTGAAATTACATCGACTATATTCGTAAAATATACTTTCTTAATGTTATTAGTATAAGTTTTTGTAAAATATCATATGTTACTAGTTTAAAATTTTTGTAAAGATATTAATGTTTATGATAAAAAGTTTAAATTGTTATTTGTAAAAACAAATAAGTGATTAATGTGTAAAGAGGTCAATTTTTGATCATTTTTATACATAAACAAATCTGGTCAAATATGAAGAAAAAATTAGTAGTTTAGAGATGTTTGATAATCTTTGAATTGAACCGTTTAAAAAAGGGTTATTGACATAAAAGCCCTCAATTTTACACCAAATGTTCGGTTTTATTCCATGTCATTTTTTGGTACGTTAATACCCTAAGAAACTAGAAAATTAATTCGTTTTTTTCCCTTTACCCAATTTTTACCTCCTACAGCAGCAGGACACTAAGCAATTTAACCGGTAAACTATATGTTGCCCGGTAACATTCCCCACCCACCGTTCCTTCTCTTCCCTAAACCTCTTTCTTCTTCTTTCTTCCACTGATTGTTCATCATCATCATCTCATTCACCTCTCTATTCTCTAAAACATGAATCAAATCAAACCCTAAACCCCTTATATTGTTCATCGTCTTCTCTAGCTGCTACTGCTTATCGATTATCATACATGCCTGAAATCAATTCCTTTTGAAGAACCTACCTGAAATTGATTAAACAAGGGAAATAAGGGGTGGGGTTTGGTGTTCTATTGAAGAAGGGGTGTAATTTCTATTCATCTTCAAGCTCCTGGTACGTTAGCAACTTCCTCGACTAGTGTTTTGAGCATATCTCCAATTTAAGAGAAATTACAAGCACAAATTGTTTTTGTACATGTTCAAAGACACAAATCTTCATCAGATAATATCTCCGATTAAACCACCCAAACAAGTCTCCAAAAGAGAAATGATAATTTCTCAACATTGTCGTATTTGATGGTGATGATGCTTTGGTAGTGGAGGATGGTGAACTGATGCTACCAGTTTTCAGTGGGCTGAAGTGGTGAACTGATGTTACCGGTTTTCAGTGGGCTGAAGTGGGTCTCGGGTTTGGTGTATGATCACGATGGAGATGATGGTGTGTCGATGGCGAGAACAGGGGAGATGGGTGTTGGCGTTGATGGTCTTGAGGGTTGAATCGGAAACCTTATTACCCTCCGATACATTCTTCTATGAACTGTTTACATATGAAGTTTTCTTGATCTTTTTCTGATGTATGCATGAATATATATATATATATATATATATATATATATATATATATATATATATATATATATATATATAGACACACATGTCTAATGTATGCATCTTTTACATGGTTGAATCAATGACTTTTAGTTGTTTTAAATTCATTATCTTGCTGGAATAGAAATCACAAGCTCCTTGATCTTTTTCTTGATTTTTATTTCTGGTGTATGCATCTTTTACATGGTTGAATCGGTGAAGTTGTGTGTTCAGTCATGGTACCTAAAACAAGTTAGAAAAAGAGGGAGAAGAACAGTGCACTGAAGGTGCTCGATGAAGTGCCTGAAAGAAAAGCACATCCACGATCCCCTGTTATGAAGCGATTTGGTTACATTTAGCGGTAAATGGTGGTTGACAGTGGTGGAATGATGCTGATTAATGGTGGTGGGACGATGGTGATGATGGTAGTGTGATGATGATGGTGATGAATAATTTGGTGACCTGTTGTAAGAGGCAAAAAAACTAGGTAAATGGCAAAAGTGAACCAATTTTCCGGTTTGTTAGGATATTAACGTACCAAAAAATGGATATGGTATAAATCCGCACATTTAGTGTAAAATTGAGGGCTTTTATGTCAATAACTCTTTAAATACATCTTCAAATCAATCAAGATACAATTTATTAACAAACCAATAAAAACCTTTAACGATTAAGAAATTATATTAATTTGATCATTAAAGTGGTTGGAACTATTACTCAAACATTTTTTTTTATCGTGTTTAGGTATTTGTATAAGCAAACATTTAAAAAAAAATTATTTTAATACCGTATAATTACTAAGCACATCTACCAATATTGATAAATCATTTTAAATAAGCAATCACTAACAACTTCTAAAATCCTGAAACAAATGATGGTCGATAGTGAAAAAGATTTGTAAACAACAATATAAAAATTTACAAACTAGAAGGATTATTTTTACACTCTAGTCATTAGAAAATTTCCAAAAGTGAAAAAACATGAACTAAGAAAATCAAAAATCAAATGGATTATAGATGAACCAAAAAAAAAAAAAAACACCTTACAAATTAGAAGAACAAAATAAACACTATTAAAAATTTAAGAAAACAATATACTTTATCGCTTACAATGAGGTAAAATGGTAAATAACCATATTTAACAAGAGGGTGTTTGACATTGCTTTTAAAATATCTTTTGACTTTTAACTTTTCTAAAAAGTTGAAAAACATCCAAAAGATGTTTTGCTATTGAAAAAGATCTTTTAAAAATGACTTTTGTATTGAAGGAAAAAAAAGTGTTTCAAAAGTCCCAAATCCTATTTTTTTGTGAATTTTGAGACTTTTAACCTGAAAAGTTAACTTTTATGCCAAAAACAAATACAAACACTTTTTAAAAATTTTCTTTTGGAAAAAGTTACTAAACAAAAAATACACCCTTTTAAAAAGTATTTTTTCAAAAAGTCATTTTTCAAAAATAACTTTTAACCTTAAAAAGTTTTCCCAAACAACCCCAAGTCGGGTCATTTTGACACCAAATACTAACTAAATCCGGGATGGTATAATATTTGCGCCGGCAACGTCCTCGACGGTCTCGTCAAAGTTCATGGCCGCCAACACGTCTGCAAACACAACTTTCCTGTTACAACCGTACACCTGTCCATCCCATTTTCTCATCACCAGCTCCTCCGCAAGTCTTACCGCCGCCTTCACTGTCTCCTCCGCGCTATCATGAGCCGAGTGAATGATCCCCTTCGTCACTGCCACTTCCGCCGTGACCTTATCAGCTCTCAGCAAAACATCACGTATTGCTGCCGGAGATCCGATCTTGTTCTTCAACAGCTTCACGAACCAATCAGGCATGACGAGCTTGATATCCATCTCGCTCATGTACAGAAATCCTCTATCCTTCCTCATAAGAACGTAATCGTGAGCCTGCGCGAGAATAAATCCGCCGGCCGCCGCGTGGCCTGAGACGGCGGCAATCGTAGGCATCGGGAGAGAGATTAGGTCTCGAACAAGTAACCTAAGCTTAGTGGACATAAGGATATGCCGATCCGGATCGGACTGAGACCAGGCGAGGTCGTAGCCATTGGAGAAGTATTTGCCGTGTGCGGTGGTGATGAGGGCGGATGGAGTGGTGGTTTCCGATCGGACACGGTGGACTGCGGCGCTGATTGAGTCAAGTAGCGTAGGGTTCAACCGGTGGTCGTCATCGCCGGTGAGGGTAAGGATGTAAATGTTACCGCGTTTCTCTAACGTGCACATCTTTTTATCTGGATAACGCTGATCAGCTCTCTATTGGGTCGAAGTGCAACTTAAATATTTGTATTTTACCCCAATGTTTTAAGTAGCACTCTACAGTGAAGCACCATTTGGTATTCTTTCGGTATTTAGAGGCAGGTGGCTAGTCATATCATCAAACCAAATATTTTCTTTCACATGGTTTGGCTAAATATTAACTTGCAAGTACATTATTCTTAAGAATGTTAACTGTTAGACATTGGTTTTAGAAAGTATCCTGTTTGGCTTAAATTAGGGCTAGGTCAAGGAAGGTAGGCATTTCACCTATTTTTAGATTTTTTGAACTTTAAGGCTATAACTGTTTAATTTACACACTACAATCATTTTATCTTTGGAGTTTTTTTTAATTTGTCATGTTTAACAAACCAAAAAATAGTTTATAAAACACGACGGATCCAACGAAGTTTGACAGCGGGCTCATAGTGGTACCACCGGCTTAGTCGAAAAGGTGCCGCCACATTGCAAGGTTCACGGGATACATAGCTCTTTGGAAAACTCTCTCTCTCTCATTGTTGACTGTTTACCAATAGTCATATTTTTACTTTATTTCTTTTAAATCTTTTTACCTATAATAAAAACTATACTCAATTAAAAGCCCCATGTTCTATCAAATTTAATAACAGTTCTATCAAATTTCATAATAGTTGTCTCTAATTCCATTCCATTTCTCTCCAGTTTTATTTCCACTTTATCCAATTCCATTTTAAATGGATTCTAATGGAAAATCCAAAAAAAAAAAAAAAAAAAAAAACAGTTCAAACAAAAGAAGCTACCAACACAAAAAAATCGGAAACGATTCTCCATATTTGTCACATTCTATTCTTGATATCCAAATCTCAAACTATCCCTAATATCCACCATATCAACCCCAATATTAACCAACTAATGATGCAACAAGTCTATAACTAGTTTCGGTTTTTTCAAGAAAATGTTAGTTATTATCTGGTCCCCTATTTTTTACAATCCATTTTAGAAACCCGGTTCCAATCCACTCATGAAGCATCACAATTCTATGATGCTCCAAATGAAGAATCTAAAGAATCAAGCGACGAACCCCCAACTCACCCCGACACCGCACAAAATTATACAAAACGTCAAAAATAAAAAAAATTGATTGAAAAGGAAGAAGTGTCATTGGCAATGCATATATCGTCATATCGGAAGATAAGGAGCCCTGGAAATCAAAAAGATCGGAGGCTTTTGGGGGGTGAGTTTTGGAACACTTTAAAATGCAATCGAGAGGTTCAACTCATACAACGCATCAAACAAACTTCAAATGGAAGGACATGCAAAAGAAATTTAACGATTTCAAAAGAAATTTAATGGTATCAAAAGCATCTTCAACCAAAAGATGAATAGTCGTGCGAGTGGAAGACCCGAGGTCGATATTTTAAAGTCAACACGAAGTGACTATCGCAAACTATGTAAAATGAAAGCTTTTATGCAAGTGGCGACTTGAGATATTTTAATTTTTTCACGAGAAATGGTTACTCGTTAAGAAATGCGGTGAGAATCCTCCTCCTACATCCAAAAGAATCAAAACATCTTACTATAACACTTACACAACCTTTTCGGATGCACAATTTCCATCCGATTTCAACATCGATCCGAAGGACAACACAATTTTCTTAACAATTGATATTAATGTTATATGGAAATAAAGTTTTGGTTTGAAACTCACATCGTCATTCTCTTGTTATAGTATAAAACAAATCCATAACTAGCCCCCTTAATTCTCATCTTGAAGGTACTTGTAGAATAAAACAAATCCATAACCAACCCCCATAATTCTCATCACCGTATCTTTTGCTTGTATATCTAATAATGATTACTCACTTTAATAATAGAGCATTTGTACTCAAAGTATTATTAGTTTCACCTATTAAGCTTGACTCCTTTTTAATACCTTGATCATGGTATATAGCCGGAGACACTACATACATGGATCACATTTAGACGAAATATATTCAAAAGTGATATATACTTTTCTTATTTAAAATAAATAAAATTACAACAATAGAGCACTTGCATTCTAGCATTCTTTTTTGCAACAATAAATCCAAATCTAGTGTAATAGAAACGACCGTCAAACACAATCACTTGTAATATCAATATTAAAAAAACAAAAGTGTACGTAGACCTTTCAAAGAGGCTATATAGCTCCCTTACTTTCAAAAATAAAGACCGCGTTTGAAGAAATCGGTTTGTTATTGTTGTTATTGCTATTGTTATTGATATTGTTATTGGTTATTACTATTACTAGGTATTTGTATTGCTATTTCTATTGTTATTGTTATTGTTACAACTATTTATTTTATATTTTTTAAAATGTATAAATACTTTTTAAAATGTTATAAATATGTTGTTAAATATACAAAATATGTTTTTTTTAAATAATATAAAATACATTTTTTTATGTATAAATACATTTTATAAATACCTTTTTAAATGTATAAAAAATGTTATTAAATATACAAAATATTTTTTCATTTGTGGTATCTATAAGTTTTATATATATATATATATATATATATATATATATATATATATATATATACTATTTTATAATGCATAGATAATGGGAATGTGGAGAGTTTTAAGACCCGGTCTTAAAAACAAGGAGATTAATTTTAGGTCATTGATTAAATTTAAATGGCTGTGATTAAAAGATAGTTGTGATCCATATGAACAAATTTGGACCAATCAAAATACTATACATCGTAACCTCATAACTATAAATCACAATGATTTTTAGCCCAATAAATCTCAACAAACACTCTCATCTAAAAAACCCTAAATCCTCTTAAGTAATTCGCTACCTCCATCCCAGGCCGCCGCCATTGTCTGCTACCAACATCACCTCTTTCCCGGCAATGCACCACCACTACCAAGAATCACCATCTAGCTACATCACCTTGAAACTCTCGATAACCTCTTTTTCTCTAAAACCCTTAGATATAAACTATTGAATAACCTTCATCACCACTATCCCATGCATCTCTTGTCTTCCTCTAGATGTTTCTCTCTAGGAAAACCATAGATTTGAAACGACTTTGACTTGCGCCCAAGATGGTACATGTGCATTACCACTTTTTTATCTTCACAATCGTGTTTGTGCAAGCGAAAATTGCATGAGGAACATTGACTTGCTTTTCTGGATCTTGATGTGGATCTATGGTTAGAATACGTTAGATTTTGTTTAATTTTATTTGTAAATAGACATTTTTGTTGTTTGTATCTATAAATCCTGCTAACTAAGAAGTATGAAAAATGACTATGCTCAATACTTTTGCTGTTAATATGTGTTTATGTTACTGACTTTTTGCTCAGTAAAGTTCAATTAGTTATGCAAATATATGTGCAGAACTGGAAATGTTTGTTAAATTATGTATTTCACTTCTTTATGAATATGTAGATTATGTATTGTCTCGGACTTTTTATAAACATTAAAATATTATTATGAGGTTTGAATACAAAAAAAGTGAGACACAGTAAAGATAAAGTCCGTTCAATTTCGTGCACTCAAACATAAAAAGCGATTTTAAATTTCTTATAAAATGAGCATTTGCAAGATACCATAAAAAAGTGTTTTTAATATACTGTAAAAATTGTAAACATCTTCAAATTCAAAATGCTATTAAATTGTTTTAATCCCAAAACAATGAGGTATGGAAATGAAGGCATGTTAAAAGCATGAGAAACGAATTATTCTTGAAAACTGCTAGAAGCGAATTATTCTTGAAAACTGCTATGTACACAGGAAATTATTAATTAGAAGTATTAATGAATAATGACCATCATTTATGATATATATTGTACATTTTTTGGTATATTTTTATTTGTTTTATATTTAATTATAATTAGTATAATAATAACATAAATAAACATTTTTCATTTACTGTTTTTCTTATTCTTCTAATACATATAAAATTTTAAAGGAACTTTCTAATTATGTGAAAAAATAAATAACATATTTTAAATAAAGTTTACAAACATGATAAATAATATATAAATAAAAAATAAAACTTAAATAAGCCTGTTTAAGAAAAAATTTAAAATGAGCTGAAAATAAATGTGGTGATTATAAAATTTACGTGGGTCTATCTTAAAATAATTGGTATTATTAATTAATAAGCAGAAGATGTTGTTTTTATAAAATTAAAGGATAAAAACTTATGTCCCTTAGAATTATCTTAGGTTTTTAAAAGATTTATGAATATCAGAGGGGTGCATTTGATGGCTAGAATATTTAAAAAGTTTGGTAGAAGATAGTCATCACTGGTAGATTACTTAAAAGAAAAATGCAATGAAAAACTATAAAAAATTTATTATTTGAAATAATAGTTTATCTAAATTATATAAACATTGTTTCTTAATAGAAAAAATAGTAATAAAGAAAAAAAGTTTTAAGTTTATATAAAAGTTCTATAAACATTCTATTCTCAATTATATCCATGCTTTTCATAAAAAAAAATTTAAGTTCATGATTTTAAAGGATTGTGAGCAACAAGTTTTTTTTTATTGTTTTTTGGATTGAATATTATGTGTTTGTATATGTTTTATGTATATACTAATTTATTTTTATGTGTTTGTTATTAAAAACTTCATAGAAAAGAGTATATGATAGTCTGCATTTTTAATACCTGTTGTTAATCTTTTTTGTTTTTTTGGCTTTTGAATGATGAATATGATACAAGACTTTTAATGTTTTGTTATTGTCTAGAAATATAATAGTTCAAGAAAAAAATTCATAAAAAAAATTCTGTCATTTTTCTACCATAAACTTTATACTCTAAATATAAGTATTTTTAATTTTTTTTAGATATCCATAAGTTGGAAATAAGACTTTTAATGGTTTATTGTTGTTTGGAAATATGAAAAAAAATAATTTTTTTGGCATTCGTAATTTAAGAGATTAACTTTGTAAAACCAGGTTGTAAAAAAAAACAAACAATGATTAAAAA